CCCCACCGGCAGCTCGGGCGAGCTGCAGCGGCAGCGCGTGATGGAGGCCGTGCACTTCCGCGTGCGCCACACCATCACCATCCCCAACCGCGGCGGCGCCGACGAGTGGGCAGACTTTGGGTTCGACCTCCCGGACTGCAAATCTCGCAAACAGTCCATAAAGGAAGAATTCACGGAGGGAGAGATCAACTGAGGCTCTCCAGCAGGCGGCAGCAAGAGACCGGGGGGGGGAACGAACCCCCCCAGGAAAAATATTTTCAGCCTCGGGCGTCTGGAAAAGTGTAATTTTGTTGTCCGGAGGGGAACTGCGAGCCGCGTGGGAAAGCATGGCCCCGCGCCGTGTGGCCCCGGAGAGGAAACTGCGGTGGCTTCGGCAGAGGGGAAGAGGAGGGCGGCTGAGCCCGCTCGCCCAGCGCGGCGCGGATTTTCTGCCTGCCCGCGGCGGGGGGGGCGCCCGCTGGGGCTTTACGCTGTTTCGCGTTTTACCGGGGGATCCCCGCGCCCGGAGGATGCGGCGTGAAGAGGGCACGGCTTTCCCTTTGCGAGACCGGCCCGCGTTACCGCTCACCCACCCCTGCCCTGCGTCCTCCGTGGCGGCCGAAACCCACGGCTCTTCATCACTGCAAAAAGGACTTCGCCCCCGCCTGCTCCGTCTGCGGCGCCGGTGCCTGCCAGGGACTGATGCAAAGCGACGCGATCTGCTTCCCTGACGGACTGCCAAGAAGCGCCCCTTCCCCTCACTTCCCTGTAGAGCAGAAACCTTTGTCTGTCAGCTCCCGATGCGTTCACGTACTGAGATATTTGTGTATATAAGCAGAAGCAAATGTACATACAGGATGCTCGTTGTGCTGTAAGGAGAAAAAAAAAAGATTTATTTTCATGTAAGCTATAAAAATTGCTACTCCTGAGACACTCCAGTGCCAAGTAAATTAATTTCGTGTTCTAGCATGTGAACATGCAGAGAATCATGCCTCCAGTCTTATCTATTCAAAATTCTATTTTTTTTCGTCCTCCGAATCTCTTTCACACCATTGCAGAGGAGGGGGCGAGCCCGTGAACCCTCCCGGGAAGCCCGAGGTGTGGATAATCCCTCCCCGCCCCCCCGGGGGAGCTTTGCAGACGGGTCAGACCCGGCGGGCAGGAACG